TAATGTAATGTAATGTAGGTAATGTATGTACTGCATGTAATCTATGTAATGTAGGGTAATGTATGTAATGCATGCAATGTAGGTAATGTATGTAATGCATGTACTGAATGTAATGAATGTAATGTAAGTGATGTATGTAATGTATGTAATGTATGTAATGTATGTAATGTAGGTAATAAATGTAATGTAATTAATATACGTAATGTATGTAATGTATGTAATGTATGTAATGTATGTAATGTATGTAATGTATGTAATGTATGTAATGTATGTAATGTATGTAATGTAATGTAATGTAATGTAATGTATGTAATGTATGTAATGTATGTAATGTATGTAATGTATGTAATGTATGTAATGTATGTAATGTATGTAATGTATGTAATGTATGTAATGTTTGTAATGTATGTAATGTATGTAATGCATGTATGTATGTATGTAATGTAATGTCATGTAATGTAATGTAGTGTAGTGTAATGTAATGTAATGTAATGTAATGTAATGTATGTATGTATGTAATGCATGTAATGCATGTAATGTATGTAATGTATGTAATGTATGTATGTATGTAATGTAATGTATGTATGTAATGTAATGTAATGTAATGTATGTATGTATGTGTATGTATATGTATATGTAACATGTATATGTATATGTATATGTCATATATCTATATCTATATACGCTGTACACAGTGTGCAAAGTAATTCTTGGTCTTGCTGGTGGCATACCTGCCTAAATCCAGTTTATGTATGTCTGTTTGTATGCAGTTCAACCCCCAACCTGAACGAGCATATCATTCTAGAATATTCTTTCAATTTTTATGTTCTCAAGCGTTCTCATGGTATGAAATATGGATAGCTACAAGGAGGAGCCCTCCTGTTGCAAGTTGGTTCATTAAACCCCATCAGCTAAGCTTATATGTAATTACCACAGGCCCTAGTTATATTATATTATATTATATCCGGTTATACTAGTGAACTAAACCAACAATTTCGGTTACCTGGGGCCCACCTTGTACCCTTTCCGCAGAAGTGGAGAGTTCCGGCGTGACGCTGCGCGCCGGAGAGTCGGTTTCTCTACGCCACTTGAGCCTGCGCAGCTTGGATGATGGAAGCTGATCTACATGGGGATGATTTAAACAATATTTATATAGGGTTTTAACATATTTTAACCATCAACAATATGGGGATATTATATATATAATACAACTGGTACATGATGGTTGGTTGATGATTAGTTGGGGGATTATACTACCCGCCCTTTATATATTGGATTTTTTTTGATCCATGCAAAAATCGTGAATGTGTCATGATTTTTAGTTGAAGATCTATCGTCAGTTGGTTTAGTGAACTTTGACTTCGGATTTATGGCATGTTTGTATATATATATATATATTGAATAATATATACATACATATGTATATATATATGTATATATGTATATTGAATATACTCATAGTTCATGGGGTTACAAACCGACTTTCGGGTTTCCCAGGTTGAACATGATCTCGATTTTTTCCATGAAAATCATCTATAGATCGGTATGTTTGGTTTGATATAGTGAGGACATAATGGGGATGTAGTGGGATATGTATCTAAAACAAGTAAATCTGTGGATGTTGTTGTTTGTTTATTAAATTGCATTGTATATTAATTGTCATTCCAACATCACTGGGGCTACATTATGGTTGTTTCGGTCCGTGCCCATTCTTGTGCATGGTTAGGGAGTAGGCAAAGTACCATGCTATCCACATTTTTCAAACCCAGGATTAAACGAAACCCTGACAGATATGGGCAGCTACAATGGCTTCATGTTTTAGACGAATTATCTGGGAGTTTTACCATCTGGAAATTCGCTTAACTGATTTGTGAATGGTAGACCGATGGTTGGGTGGATTAGCACACACAGCTTTTATGGTGTGCAATTCCTACCGCAGGAAAAGGTGTGTTTTTCTTTTTGTGCGGGGCATTTGTAAAAAGGGTCAGCCATGTTCTTGCATTTCCGAAATGTTATCCCAAAACTGACCCCACCGCAAGGATTTGGAGACGCCCCTCCATGGCATCACGGTAGCGTCTTTGGTCAGACCACACCTCCACGGGTTGCGGTGCCCTTTACCCTCGGATCAGGGGATGGTGCCCCCACCCAGGCAATGCAGATCCCAATGAGCCTTTGGGACTATATGCTGTGCAAGATGATGTGGAAGTGCATTTGCGCAGCAGCCAGGGCATTTTGGAGTCTTGGCCAGAACGATGAACAAGTTCTTGATGTCTTGATCCTTGATATCTATGGTTGTTTTTCATGCCGCATGTGCATTTGACAATCTATTCTCACTTTCTGTTTGGTTCTCTCTCTCTCTCTCTCTGTGCATATATATCTCAGCACATGTTTTTGACTCAAACGGATGGTTCATTTCGATCCATAAATCGTGCCTTTGAGAATGCTCCATACATCTCACTGATATTTGTGAGACTCTTCTTTTGATGTTTTGTCAGGACATGATAGGGCACCTTTTCCATTTGTGCATTGATACTTTTGGACTCCCTGCGGCCCTGCAGTACATCAATTTTGTAGACAGTCAGCCCCTGGATGTCACCCTGTTTAGAACTGCGAATATGACCAGGTGACCAGGCTATAAAAGGAACATCTCATATAAAACATATATAAACTACATTTTTTTTTTCTTTAACTAATGCTGTTTCATTTCCAGGAGGTCGATGTGGCAGCACTGGTGGGCTCGACACAAGCGTACCTCTCCGATGCAAAGGATGGAGCGGCGACTGCCACGAAGTACGACCAAGAACAGGAACAGGTGCACGGGAAAGCCAACCTATACGCCTGGGCATAGGATGGTATCATTTATATAACTATAAAATATTATAAATAGTATTTATATAACTATAAAATATTATAAATAGTTATCTGTCCAGGAATATTTATGTATACATCGATCACGGTGAGAATCAAGTGAGAAAAACGCGTAATGGCAAGCCAACCCAGTGACGAGAAGGTTCCAAATTTTCATGATTTGCTGTGGATTTCCCTGGCTGCGAAGTCAGTTTGCTGGCACATCTTCAGATGTCACTTGCATGGTAAAATCCTGCCTTTCACATACACACATGCCATCATATGCCAACTTTTGTATTTATTTGGCCCAAGTTTGGAGGTTTTAGCCGATTTAGCAGCTTTGCCACACCCTTCGCAATTTCTCAGAGAGCTGGTTTAGCAGCTTGCGGCATATTGATGGTTACAAATTCCATAAGTTAGGATATAACCCCTTTAGCCATATCCACTTCTAGAACCTGCATTTCCAAGTAGACCTTCCAAGGTAATGTTTGTGTCCTTTTCGGCGTACCCATGTTGGAGACTAGTGAAGCTCCCGCAGACAGGTGGCAGACATGGGAGCCCAAATGAGTGGTGCAGCTTTCAACGTGCCATCTGCCAACACGCGTTTGGCATATGTGGGGGCTCCCATTTGTTGAGGGAATGATGGCTGGCAGCCAATTTTTCGCATATTTTTTCTAGAATTACCGAGATGAATTTTGGGTGCGTTTCAAAAATGTATGGGCAACTTTTTAAATTCGAGTTTGAGGGTATCTTTGGATCTAGCCTTTGCTTTGCATTTCGTGCTCATTTGTGTAAAAAAAATATATACTGTATTTTTTTCTGGATTCTGCTGGTGGTGGTTTCTCAAATATGCCAAAAATTATCAACCATCGAAATATGGACCAATTCCTCTGATGGTCCGTCCACGTGTCCCCCGGATCACATCCTCTTGTCGTTTTGGTGCCCCTTAAATCCGGTAAATCTATCGAGGGAAAAGCTCTGTACGGTTAAACCCCATTAAATGTTAGATCACATGCCCATGCTATCTTATTGGTGGTTTCAAACATTTATTTATTTTCCATTTCATATTCATACATATATATACATATATGGGATAATCCTTCAAGATGGTTAAAACCACCAAGCAGTTTTCTTTTGATCATTTGAATCCAAATTTGAGTTGGGAATACGTCCCATCCCATCCCTCGGTCCTCCGGTCAGTGGTTAGTGTATATCTAACCTATTTTTGGCAGGTAAAACACATGTTCCTGGAAACTTTCCCCTTAAGTCAATCCTGATTCAATATATTCAATATGCAATTCTCCATGCACAACCCCCAAACATATTCTCTATTCAGACATGCTATCAATCATTCAGCAAAGCAAGCGTTACTGAAATTACTTGACCTATACAATCTCACAATGTCTAATAAACATGCACTTGATATTATTGTAAATCAGCCATATTGTTGTTCAACATACAGTTTTGCTTGACCCTCAAATCATCAAACCCTCGAAATAATACCCTATCCAGACCCAAATTTATTTCCCTCAAATTCATAAGCCTCAATTGCTTAATATTGCTTATATACGTATATCTATTACGTATATATATTTCTATATAAACCAACTTATAAGACTGATTACGCCTCCGTGAATTCAAGATAGCTGGGTGAATTCACCATGACACGTTCGGTAAATCCATCGCCGTCTGGCCGGCTATTTTGAAGATCGCCCCACCAGCTTCCAGTAAACCAACAGTTCGATGTGGAAAATCCATGGAAAATCCACGTACCCTCTGGTAATTTAACATAGCCATGGAAAATGGCCATTTCTAGATGGTTTACCTATTAAAAATGGTGATTTTCAGTAGCTATGTTAGTTTACCAGAGGGTAACTTTCCTGTGGCTTTTCCCATGGCACCCTGGCACCGTTTTCTCCCGGCCTCGCAGGTGGACCCTTCCCGCCCCGCGGACCCGGAGAACCGGACGTTGCTGGCGCCTGCGGGCGCTCAACGGCCGCAGCTGGTCCGGTGGACGGGACGTAGTTTGCAGCTGCAGGGCCCTGCGGCGCTGATGTGGCTGGGCCATGGGGGAGAGGGCGGCTTCACCATGGTTTAGGTATGCTAAAATGGATCGAGAAAAATTGGAATTCAAGATGATTTAAGATGATTTCACCAGCCAAAAGTTGGAATTTCAGCCCCGAACACGTTTGGATGTGTAGTGAATTCACAGAATGAACCGAAAAGTCCAGGTTCAAAGCTAGGTGTGGGGTTGAAGATAGACAAAGTATTGGATTTTATTTTGAATTGCCCAAATCAAAACCAAATTAGCATATTAGCATTTAGCTACACTTGAAGTTGTCCAGCTTCTCCCACAGTTTGTGTTGGTTAATCTAATCCCATCAATAAATTCACTAAGAAGAACATGGACCTCTGAACAGTCACAACCACACCAGAGTTATTTTCTGCGGGATGTTTAGGCTATACTGATCTATACTGTAATTGCTTTACTTGTAGGATTATCATACTGGTTGTACCCAGCGCGGTGACCCAGTCCCGACCTCAGCATGGATGATGGTTCGAAAAGGAACACCGAAACGAAACGAAAGCCTGGTGGAATGTAATGAATGTAATGGATTTGTACAGATTTTTTTGTTTGGTATTTTACATTCGCGGGATTCAGATCAAGTTTGGGTGGGCTGTTTTGACTGTCGTAAGAAAGGAACAAATAAATGCCTGAACCCAGGTGATTCCACACTACCAAAAAGCGGCTAGTGACGAATGGTGGTGGTGATGTGCTAGATTCCAATGTTCACTTGGCAATCAACCCCTCATGTCTATTTGTACCACTTTTTTTGGATCATCCCAGTAAATGTTTACAAACCAGTTATCAAGCCAAATGTGACATCATGAGATAACTAGGGTTTTCTATGGTTTTCTCATAGTTAATCCCTTTGAGATCACATTGATTCCTGCTGGTTCCCGCGTTGTGGCCGAGGCAAGCCACGTTAGCCACCTTGAAGTACACCGCGGACGAACGCGCGGGCGGCTGGGACACGGTCCAGGTGTCCATTGGAACAGACGGTCAGCGGGGCGATGTTCCGCTGTACATCGTGCGCAAAGCAGGCGGGGCATGGAGGTGCTGGTCGGATTTAGAGCTGTGAACGGTGCTAAGTACTGGGGGTTCAACAGAAGGTAAGCTTGGCCTTCTTCTTGGATCCCAAGACGACATATTCAGTTTCTTCATGCTTCGTGAGGGCTTAGCTCGCCCACTTACCCTCTGGTAATCAAAGATTGCAATGGAAAATCTACCATTTAGTTCGATCATTTTCCCATTAAAACATATATCAAAACATATTAAAACACAATTATTTTTTGCAACATTTCAAGCCGGTTTTCAAGCTAGCCATGATTGATTGCCAGATGGTATCACAAACCGCTCATTGTTTGCAACATGTTTGCAATATGTTTGCAAGATCTAAGCAGTGAACCAGGCCCTCCCCACTAGCCCCAAGTAGGCGCAGAGCCCAGGTGATGTGTTGTTGAAAGGCGCCCCGTTGCAGACCTTGATCGCGGGGCAGTTCCTAAAGCCCAACGTCCCTCGGGATCCCTCGGGTGCGGCGCCGTGGTGTCTCCCCGATGCCAGAAGTTGTAATTTATGAAATTTCACTACTGTAGATACCCTCTGGTAAACTAACATAGCAATGGAAAATCACCATTATTAATGGGTAAATTCACTATTTCTATGGCCATGTTCAATAACTATGTTAAATTACCAGAGGATAATATAAGGCTTTGCTGTAGAAATCTGTAGAATGTGTTGTGAACATGTTTTCCTTGAGGTAACCCTGGGACTGTGGGAGTTCCGGCCTCACTTCTGAAGCATGGGAATCATAGTCACTGAAGCCCGTTTGATAGATTTGATGCACATCTCCAAGAATGGAGGACGATTATGGACATTTTAGAGGACAACCCTGATTTTCACTTGTTTCCTGTAGGTTTTCCCTTAAAGCAATCAATTCAACATCTTGGGATATCTTGGGCAGCCGGTTGACCCCAGTACCCCGGATGTCGGATGTGGCACAGGGGTAGCTTGGGAATGATTTCTACAAGTTGGGCGCCGGTGCATGTTCAAAGCCTTTGAGGGAGTTCCCCGCTTTTTTTTTTTGAGGGTATATACCCTCTGGTAAACTAACATAACTATGGAAAATCACCATTTTTAATGGGAAAATCCATTATAAATGGCAATTTTCAATAGCTATGTTAAATTACCAGAGAGTAACCCCCTTATTAACCCCATGAAAGCTATAGTCATATCCTCCATAAACACTCTAGACTCTCTCTATAATCAACTGAAAAAAGTCAACTTATAAGTCAACTCAACTATGATGATTTTATGATGTTTTTTTTTGTCATCATGTTATTTCATGATTTATTGATTTATCATGATTTTATCAGTGATTCTCCCACCTCAGATCAGTCGCTATCGAGGTGACCTTCGAATCTGGTTCCTTGGTGCGTCCCGCGGATCGCTTCAACGCCTGGGTCACCTGCAACTCCTGCGGCTTCGCGCTTTGGGCCTTCGCGGGGGAGATGGAGGCCGTCGAATGGGGAAATCTGCGACACCTGGTGGGAAAGCTCATGAAAGCTCCATGTTTGGTGTTCAATTCCTATGGTTTCTGGATATTGATAAGATGTTTAAACATGTTTAAACCAATCCAATGAGATATATCATTTCTAGGGTAGAGTTACGAATGTTACGATGAATACAGGTTGAAGATTTAAATCCTAGGTTTGGCATTGAACATGCGGCTAGTCAGGGATGGGGAAAGTTTATCCCATAAAAAAGTGTTTTCCCAGACGATGTTCCAGTAAGGATAGGGACCCCTGATGCTGTCGCAATGGGAGATTAGGAGGTTAGATTACACATATTTATAAGTTATAATCACATATTGTAACATACTCGTTGCCACAAAAAAGATAGAACATGTTGAATGTACCACCAAATTTGGCAGATTAACTGTTTTTTTGTTTTATGTGTTATTCTTGTTTTCTCTAAATCATAAAATGGAGGTTGCTAGAGATCTTCTGACAGGCGTCACTGATGGTGGGATGATGCTTTAGATGCACATCCTCACACTTTGCATCATATGTATATTCATACAGGATGGGGCCCCCAAGATAGCGTTCAGTTGCCTTATATAAGTGGTTGAATTCGATTGGGTTTATGGTAGGTATAACCAACTAGTTAATGGTGGTTATTTCATGGTTTATAAACCAACATTCACATCACTGGGGGGCCCCATCCTGTATGACTGTATGCCTTCTGGGCCTATCTGGGCTCCTCATATGGCCCGAGCGGCTCATCTCAGTGGACTTTTTTTATATATTTTTGGAGTCTCAAATTATGTATTCATATCAATGGGAATTTCAGGAACCGATTGATTGGAGGTACCTACCATATATGTAAGGGAATATCCTCACAAAATATGGCCTGACAAATGGTACAGTACCTCCATTTTAGGATCCTGGAATTCCCATTGATTCATATGTTGACTGCCGATGCATCAATCGATGGGGTGGATGATTGTTGCAGAAGACGTTGGTGTGTCCTACATGTAGAAGAAGTCCCAAAACCTCATGATTGAGGACCGTTGAGAGGATGCTTTTCTCAAGTAAGACGTCCATAACTCAGCTCAGGCACCTCAAAAAAGAAAGATAAATACCATAACTTTGGTATTTCATGGTATTCACATTTTTCAACAAGCACGTATGGAAAACCACCCCGGAGATACAACGGTTGAGAAAAATCTCAGGTGTTCACGAAGATCTGCACCCAAAACATGGAGACAAACCCGATGCCATGGAGCTAGTGATCCTGTTTTGAATATTTTTGAATGACACCTTCATTTTTTGACTGCTACTTACCCTCTGGTAATTTAACATAACTGTGGAAAACCACCATTTTTCATGGGTAAATCCACTATTTCTATGGCCATTTTCAATAGCTATGTTAGTTTACCAGAGGGTAGCTAAATCTTATTTGTATTTATTTGTTTCATGGAGCTAAGGCGGGTCAGCTGGGTGAATCGGGTGGCATGCCCCCAGTGGTCAGCTTGGGTATGTGATGCCTGCGAGAAGTACTCGAGATGTGTGTAGCCGTTGCCTGAAAAGAAACCATTGAAGCAGCACTCACCCCAGCGCCCTTGAAGTCAAGCTAAGATTTCAAATTTGATGGTGGAAGAATTGAAAGTTGCCAGGCAAACCATGATCCACGTTCTGTTTCTTCTAGCTTGCAGAAGAACAATGATAATCAATGGAAATGTCGACAGAACATTGCACCACGCGTTCTTGAATATGTAGCTCAGCTGTTGGCATCACACACACACACACAAGGTCAGTTCCGTTTTCGCTTTGCCATGCGCGCTCTCATCTTCGCGCCGTCGTTTCGCCATGGAAGTCCAGGCAGTCTTTTTCGGAACCTTTGCAGGGGTTCCTCGTCATTGGATTGGGTAGCTTGCCACCCAGCTGGTGGATGGGGTGCCCCATCGCCTTTTGCTAAAGGAGGCTGCCCCTTACCATGATCAGCTTTGGATTGGGTTGTAGCCTTTTCGGAATTGGATGAGCAATGATGGGTAACCATATGTGTATATAATATATTAACACATACACACACATATGTATATATATGTATATATATTATATTGATATATCCCGTGTAAATAAAGATACACTCGTAGTAAGCAACCGACCCAGGTTCTTCTTCTGAACTTTCATGTTCTTGTGAATAAGTCTGACCTCAAGAAGGGTGGTGCCTTGTTGTGGAGCTTACTGTGGCGCGCCATTTCTCCCACGGTCTTGGAGGAGGAGATACAGAAACAGCGAGTGGAAGATGAACTTCACAAAATGCGGTTGTGGGTCTTCACGCAGAAACTTGGTGCTGGTTTCAATGGTTGGTTCAACATGGTAAAACCATGTAAAACCACCAGGTTTCTTTTTGAAAATTACCAGCAACAGGTGCGGATATGACAGTCAATGCAGTGATGTACCGATAAATCTGTGCTTTTGTTTTTCCCCAGCCGAAAAGGTGGGATGATTGATGACCCACAAACGCTTCCACAACTGTTTTTTTAAAATGTGTTTTTCCTTTTGGGAGCTTGCTTCAGGACAAAAAACAGCCAGGAAAAACAGCTTTGCAATTCACATTGACTTGTTTATGATCCTGCGCATGTGCTGGAAGATTGCGCACCAGTTTGAGGAAGTCACCATCTTTGATGCCTGTGAGAGTGCGGCTCCCTATATGTTCTTCACCTTTTTTCATAGTCTCCAGATGATTGAGATGAAGCATATGTGGAGGGTCTATCAACTCACCGTGTTGAGTACACACACGTTGTTGGCATTTTTCAGGCCCAGTGAGGTCGGCATTGACACTGGAGCAAAATATCAGGTGGTGTCATTGATTGCACTTTCCTCATCCATGCTGGATTCTCGAGTGTCACTACCTTTTTGCTGTCTGGAGGGGCTGGTAAATGTTTACAAGGCTTGGAAATCTTATGGTGACGCTGCGAGCTACACTTCCCTACTGCTGGATGAAGTGGCCATTTGCGGACTTAGTTGCATTTTAGTAGTTGTGATCGAACGCCTTGCTAAGCTACACATTGAGAGTCGGCTGGAATCTGGAGACTATTCATGCAGGCTGACTGGCTTTCGGTCTGTGCTGCGAGGAGTGTCTGATGGAGATATCTTGCTTGATGCCAACAAGACTTTGGTTGAAGATACGACCTCCCTTGAACGCCTATTAAATACACAGAAGAAGTTGACCGGGACCAATTTTCTCCACCTATTTCCGGGCATCGACGAGCGCAAGGCTTTCCTGGACTTTCTCTCCGATGTCCAGCCGGCAGAGTGGCGGACACCATCCGCCTGTAGGGTCACCCTACAGAGCTCACTTGGCCCGATGTCGATGGATCTGTTTCATGTGAGAGTTGTCAATTCCCAAAGTGCTTCGGAAGAGGAGAGTTTCTGGATGGATTTGCTGTGAAGTTTTTTCCGAATAAAACATATTTTTTAAAAAAAGATTGGGGAATCTACTGGGATTATGCTTTATTTCCTATGGCCTTCTTAGGCAAATGCAAGTTCTGGATGGATTGTAGCCATACTCTTGGGTCTGGGTGACCTGGGAAACCTGTCAAGGTTTCTTTCACTTGCTGGCTATCAAGCTGGATGCCGATCAGATCGCTATTCCTGATGCCAGAGAGGAGGGGCCTTCACTGAACGATACGGAGCGAGATAGGTACGCCTGTCCTGGTCCTGCATCCTCATCACTTGGCAGTGAAAAGGAACTTGCACTGTCCTACAATAATTTGAGACTGGCCGGTGATTTCAAGTGTTTGTGTATTATCCGATTTTCTTTGAATCTCTACAATTGTTGCCACGTGTTCGGGATGATGTTTCAAAACCTCATAAAACCACTCTTTTTGAGCGCTGGCAGGCTGAAATTGATAGCAACCAGGAAAGAAATCACTCTCTTACTGACCTCCCACTCCTCGATGTGGGACATTGGAGAGGTTCATTTGAAGTATGAGCGCAGCAACTTTTTGGATTGCGGCATGCCCACCCTGAAAAATTTCACGCGACCCAGCGATTGGGAGCGGGTACTTCGAAAGATTCACGAGTCGAAACGCTCTGCCAGCAATGGCGATGGCAAAGCGTATTTCACAAAGCCACTCTGTTTGAGACTGCCAAGTAGTTCGACCAGAGGCTGGGTATGGCACAGTGATTTTTGTTTTGCTTCAACCATCCCCAACTAAGACTAACTAAGACAATAGACCTCGGGATAGCATTGATTTCGAGGAAAGTAGTTTTCCAACCCCTTGTTTAGCGGGTCTGTGTCAGTTCGAACACTGAAGATTGTAATGACAAATTATTTAATTTAATTGATATAATCCACCAGGATTTGACAAATCTGCTCAGAAAGATTGTCACATTTGTTCGATGCCACCCTTTTTCGATCTTTTTCGAACATCCTTTTGATCATCCAAGGACTGGTTGGTGGTTTGGAACATGGCTTTTATTTTCCATATATTGGGAATTGGAAACATTGGATAATAATCATTTTTTCTGGATTGGTTTATATTACTGGTGGTTTGCAACATGAAATTTATGACTGTCCATTCAGTTGGGAATTTCATCATCCCAACTGACGAGTTGTCCATCATTTTTCAGAGGGGTAGGTATACCACCAACCACATTACCTACCGGTGGTTACCAGGTAAGGTTCCTTTGTAAACATCTACCAGCCATTCATGTCCTAGGGGTGGCTCAACCATCATCCAAGGATATATGAGGGCCAAAAAGGTTTCCATCGGACGAGCAAGTGAATCAAGTGAAGTTGCAGCGTCGGTGGAGTTGTTTTGGATGAATTTTCGAGATCTCGATGTGAGTCAAGCGCAAGCCGCCAGAAAACTTGGCGGCATCCACGAGGCAGCTGAACGATGAGATCGCCGGCAAGATTGGGCACCTAGAGATTGGAGCGACCGACCTGGAAAAAGCTGGGAAATTGCGGTGGGAAATCCAGGGAAAGCTAGTTTATATCTTATTTATCATTCCCGACTTTGGAAGCTATATTTTGGATTGTCCCCATGAGCTGCTGTATCTTTGAAACAACTGTTAGACATCGATGCACATTTTTTCTGCACATCATGAACACGTGTCAATGTTTATGTATAGGCACGTGTATGACCTTGAATCCCGTGAAACATCCGTAGCCGTAGCCATATGGTTTTTTCGATTCGTTACTTATTACTTTGACAAACTAAAAAAAATTGGTGCTTTCCCATGTGCATTCTCCAGAAATGGCACATAGTAAATCGGTTCATATCGGTTCCATGTGTGTCCCACTAGCAGCACTAGCATGTCAACTGGAAACCTGCATGAAATACCCAGGGTCTGGAAATGTCGGACTGACCGCCATGCCCTGTTGGAAATGACAATTTTGGTTCTCATATACCCATCATATACCCATTATCTTTCCATTCTAATATTATATTTGATGTTCCCTATGATATTCCCCACGTAAAAATTCCCATGACTCACCGACGAGGTGATCGACTATGGGAGCCTGGAGTTCTCAGGGAACAGCTCAGGGCTACAGAATTTCCTTCGAGACTTGACCTACGTTCCCCTGGAAGGCGAGGCGTTTCCGAACGAACCGGGCGATGGCTGGACGTTGTGAGAAATCTGATGGCTGGAGATGAAGGATTTATGATGTTTATGATTGATATTAAGGTATGGTGAAGGATTTAGGATATTTGTGTTTAAGATATTCATTCAAATTGTTATTTTGTTGTCGTTTATTTGCTGAATTTTATCTTAAGTGTAAGTTCGCGATGTTGAATGTACAATGTAACAGGATGTCAATGCTTGGAGTGGGTCAACATCGTCTTTTTTTTGAACCCGCCCACATATAGCCATGATAAACTCTCCAAAGCTGATGAATTTGGCCAAGCCACTCGGGCAAAATCTCTCCACTCCCCTTTTCTTGAAGTTGATCTTTCCGGGTTGTTATTCATTTCCCAGTTGTCAGCTGTTAAAATTCAATCGGTTTTGAAATATCACTCGTGTGTGCGTGTGTGTGTGTGTGTGCGTGTCTCGTTTTTCCTCTGAGCCGCTCATGTAGCATTCTCGTTGGTGGTGGTGTCCCATTTTTTTTTTGCTAAAACCTGAATTTTGTTGATAAAGCACAGATTTGTTGTCCTGCATGCACACATAATACGCCACATGGTGCAGGTACCTACGTTCAGGGTATTCTTGTCAATCAATAATCACCAGATTTGTTGGTGAAACATCCCACAAAAAGTATTAGTGACAAGCACATCTCAACAAACCAGACGGTAACTTTCTTAGTATATAATTATATAGATTAATCTAAACTACTTCCATTTGATCCCCGAATATCCCTTCACGTGTTCGGTGTAAACTATTTCTGGGTAGTAAGTCCTCATGGTTGCTGATGCAATCCCAGTTTTTTGAATGGTCCAGTTTTCATTGCTTAGCTTAACATGCTAAGTTTTTTTCCCCTGCTGGTTATATAAATTCAATGTTTGTTGTGTTCCCTCAAGTTTCTGGTAAATCCAGGGTTTTGGTTCATCAAATCCTTATTTGGGACATATAAAAGTAGATTTCGGGGCCTGATTCCCACATCAACCTGTTGCTAAGATGTCAAATGTTGCTTGATGATTGTGAACTCCCCATTTTTCCAAGGTTTTTTCCTATTGGTGCAGTTTTTTTTCTGGGAAAGTTAATCCCCAAGTCTTGCCAATTGAATCCGACTTTCTTATAGACTCTCATGTTGTTTATTGCTGACATCGCAATTTGTTTGTCAGAAAAAAATGAAACAAATCAGATTAATCGAATCCCAATCCAAACAATATCAAACAATTGCTAAAATTCTAAAGTGTTTCTAGGTCAAAGCCTCGAAAAACTCAATTTTCCGTTCAAAACTCCAAAAATCCCAGGCTGTTTTTTTTTTCAGTTTTTTTTTTGGGTGAAAAAGTTCACGAAATCTGGCCCCAGGCTTCATCGGCACGGACCGGCTGCAACTCTTCGTGCAGGGCCTGCGTCCACAGGCAGCGGCTGCAGCCACAGAGCCTCCACGTGCGGAGCTGGGGATGGCCATCCAGGTGCCGGAAACCGGTGGATTTTCGATGGAACGCCTAGGAGTCTGGACATCATCTTGGGGTCATGGAAAACAACGTTGGAAAAGTATGGATAAGTTGGCTTTCAGCTGCACCTGGCGTTTTTTTTCGCATGATATTTCAGCAAAAAATGGGATTTACAGTGATTGATTTGCTCTATTTACTGTAATCGAAGGACTGGGTAAACCAACTGGATGGTTACTTTACAGTAACCCCAAGAACATTATGAAAATCCAATTTTTTACCACCAAATCGTAGTGTTGGATTTGACTTTTCCGTGTCTCTGTGGGGATGGGGGTTTATTGATTTACATAACCACCTTAAAGAATGGAGAGTCTCTTAGATTGGCACTGGCCAAGATTCTTTCGGCAATGGGGCCGGATTCTGTATATAAAAATGAATCTGGGTTTAAATCGTTTGAGTGAAGATTATCGAACATGAGTGTAACATACGGTAACATATCTTGGGTGCTATCTCAAGGTGTACCAGATTTCTGAAACCATGATCTTATTAAGGTTTTGCAGCATGTTGCTTGTTTCAGAAAGTCTTGGTAACACGATGGGTTGAGATGTGAAGATGTTAGAGATTGTCGCTTAAGACGCTTAAACATAGCCTTTGCTGTAGCCAGCTCTGAACCGCCAAAAATTAAAGTGGAACTTTTATAAACGGATTTACGCACATATATGAGAAGTTTAGGTTCAACAAGCATACGTTGGGACAACTTGATTCATGCATGGAAATTTGGCCAAAATAAGATTCTGGCAGCAAACACGGGGATTTTTCATAGTGGTGCTGAATGGGCTCAATTGCGTATACCTTGGCAACAAACATGGTTTGCCTGCACACCTTTGTGGTATGGCCATTGGGCCAGCGCACCAGCAAGGCCTGTCCAGGCCCCATGGAGGCGGCCAAATTGATGTTCAGTGCTTAAAGAAAGATGCCAAACTTGGTACCTCATGTTCTTCATGAGCTTAATTGTGTTAATCCCTTCCTAACACTAAATGCAACCATTGAGGCCCAGGTTTAATTCGATATGTGTGTTTTTGTCCCAAATATGGGATATGTCATGCCTTTTACATTGGCATTTTTTCTCCTTATCCCCCATGTTTTCGATGGTTACACCACGTTAGATATTCCCGCAAATTGTTAGGTTATCTGATTGGTGGTTTGGAACATGTTTTTTTTCCATAATATATGGGATAATCCTTCCCATTGACTTTCATATTTTTCAGAGGGGTAGGTATACCACCAACCAGTTATAATAAGTTATATATGAATATCTACAGCTATACCCCTCATTTTGATGGTTACCTCCCGGAATCTCCCGGGTTCTGTTAGTTCATGGGAATCGGATCGGGGCCGCAGGTTCAATTGCAGGAAGTAGTGGTACCTCCAGCCACCCTCACCATGCCTGAGAGGCGAGGGAAGCCGAAGCCCGCAGAAACCATGGTTCAGTGAAGGATCCACAATACATGTTTGGGACCATGTAATTACAATGTATCTAATTAGGTGTTTTTCCCTGTTTTTGGGCGGGATGGGATTATTCTGTGCTTTTGGTTGGATACCTTCCGCTACATATTAAAATGGTGGGCTGCTGGGAAATCCCCGAACTTAATGGAGGTTTGTAGCTCAGAAAATCAGTGCAATTATTTCCAGGCCACATTTGATTACCTGAGGGTACTCTGGCAACCGAATCTGAGCTCAAAACCTGTGCATTGCTGGTGGGGCTTTTCTTCCCAATCGGAACTGGGTCTTTATCTTAAAATCCAGCCGGGAATCCGAGACAGCCGAGTTCTTGTGGGGAGAGAGCACTGATGACCTTGCACTGGGAAATCCCGCTTTGTGAAAATGTGAAGCATACAGGAACCTCATCCAAAAAAACCTGCCGTAGGAATCTAATTTGGCACACTGGCAGTGTCAATGCGAAGGAGCTCCAATCAGCAGTGTGTGTGTGTGCTGAGATCCCCAAGTTGTAAAGGGAGAACAGGATCATGACTCATGACAATCGCACTATTTTTTTGTTATATTGTGTTCAAGGTGCTACCGGGTCACCGGGTACCGACACCCAAGCGAGGCTGAACGTCTTTGAAGACAGTGTCACGGATCTCCGCATCAACATCCATGACGCTGGGCCGCAACATTTGATGGACAACTGTCTGGATGATTGGCCCAACCTTTTCTGCTGGTCAAATCCATCTTCGGTTGGCATCTATATATCCATCACCTTACATCATCAATCATCACTATACCGGCTTCTGGTAGCCCCAAAAAAGATAGAAAAGGTTAGAAAAGCGTAAGTTGACCCCTAAATTAGCAGCCAATGTTGCTACTTCTTGCATGTTTTAACATGTTTTCCTTGGGGCTCCAAAGAACCACGGATTTTTGATTCAAAAAACATCACCTCCCGCGTTGACAGGACATGCGTCCCGTGAGCCCCTCTGGCATCCCCCTCGCGTCGGCGGAAACGGCCAACGATGGAAGCTCCAGACCGTGCGTGCGAGCGGATGGGCCCTATACCTGGTGACTTGGGTGAAAGCTCAGCCTGGGGAGTTCGGAGTGGAGTTTTTTCAAGTTTTTTCCCCTTGATCTGTCCAAAGGTGGTGAACAAAAACCATTCAAAAAATGGGGATTGAATGGGATATTAATGGGAATATCAGTATGCGAGAGAGAGAGAGAGAGAGAGAGAGATATGCAGCATATATATATAATTATTTAACCGACATGATTAGAAGGCTATCAAGATGTCATCTGTGATAATTTGGCGTAATTTGGCAGGTGACGAATAAATCTTCATAAGATGCATTGTTGCCCAACATGAGTTCCGTGAAAGATAAGCATGGAGTTCGCGAAAGTTTCGCAACCGTAACATTTTTAGTGGCGAAGAATGGCCGTTCTCACGGATAAAGGATTTTTGATGAATTTTGATCAACAACCATATATGTGTGTGATTATATACCTTAACAACAACGTGGGACGCCGAAATTGGAGGGGGTTAGCCTCTATTATGAGAATTTATTTCTGAGAACATTTTTTTTTAGAACAAGAAAAAATATGGTTTCCTTAAATCTAAAAGCCTTTGTTCACCCTTCCTCTTATTATAGATGCTGTATCTTGCTCACCCCAATCATCAGGAATGTCACCAGATGATTAATTTCCTTACTAAACCCTTAAAAGAAACACAGCACCCCAAAAAAATCAAGGGGTACCCCATGAGTGACTCAGATCCTCAATGATATATTATATATATACACATAATTGTTTGGATTTGGATGGTGCTCTTTTGTGCTCAGCAAAATTTGGGGTGAAAAAAACAACAACACCTTCTATTTCATCCACCTTTGGGTACAGCTGTTCCATTTACTTTGGAAAGCCGTATCCATGTTGAATCCTTAGAATGCAGGGTTCCCGAAGTGATTAAATTCCATATTCGACCCTTATTCAAAAAAGCACCCAAACAATTTTTCAAGGCCGTGCCCCATGAGTGACTCAGATCCTGAATAACATACGTGTTTGGATTGTACTCTATTGTGCTCAGACAATTTTGGTGTGAAATAAACAAATAACAACCTCTTATCCACCTTTCTTTGGGTAAAGCTGTTACTTGTGAAGTCCTTACTTGTCCTTAGATTTCGGTGTGGTTTAAATAGAAAAACAATTGAACATGGATTGATATCAATTGAAATCCTTATATATACTTATCCTTAGCTTTCTTTGTGGTTTTAAAGGAAAAGAAACTGAACGTAGATTGATATAATTTGAAATCCTTACGTATCCTTAGATTTCTGGGTGGTTTAAAAAGAAAACCAATTGAAAGTAGATTGACATGAATTGGAATCCTTACTTGTCTTTGGATTTCTCTGTGGTTTAAAAGGAAAAGCATCTGAACGTAGATTGATATAATTTGAAATCCTTACTTATCCTTTGATTTCTGTGTGGTTTAAAAGGAAAACCAATTGAAAGTAGATTGACATGAATTGGAATCCTTACTTGTCCTTAGGTTTCTGTTGGGTTCAAAAGGAAAATCTTTTGAAAACAAATTGATATGAATTGAAACCCTTACTTATCCTTAGATAACTTAGATTTCTTTTAGGGTAAAAAGAGAAGAGAATTTAAAGTAGATTGATACAATTTGAAATCCTTACTTATCCTCTGATTTCTTTAAGGTGTAAAAGGAAAATCAATTGAACGTAGATTGATTTCAATTGAAGCCCTTACTTATCAATAGATGCCTTTTAGATTCTAAAGGAACATGATTTAAACGTAGGTGGAAATGAATTGAATTTCTTACGTATCCTTAGATTTCATTTAAGTTATAAAAGAGAACCAATTGAAAGTAGATTTACATGAACTGAAATCCTTTCTGGTCTTCATTTTTTGATTTAAAAGGAAAACAATTGAACATACATTGGCATCAATTGAAAGAGAATTTACTATACAATGTCTGACCATGGCACATATGATTTTTGCCAATGGTTTTCTGTTTTGTGATGATATGATTTTGTTGCTCATTGATTATGCACTGATTGTCCTAACTTATGCATGCGGCTTTGGATTGTGTTGGTTATTTGTTTTTATACCCACCTTCAAGACCGGAGCAAGCCAAAGTGAGGAATTACATGAATTTACCATGCTTTCCCCAGCAAGGGGGGATTGAGAGATAAATAATTTAGCACTTTTTTTGTTTGACTCGCCTCAGCTTGACTGCTGTTCTCCCCGGTATGGCGATGGAGGGAGAGAGAGAGGGAGAGAGAGAGAGTTGGTTTCACTGCAGACCTTCGAACCGGGGGCAACTAGGGGGTTGATCACTAGGATACTGAACACCCATTGAGAAAGGAGGAACCACCCCCGTATGGCCTTCTTTAAGTTCTTTACTTTCAGAGCATTGAATACAATCTTGCTGTACCCACAGCTAGACGGCGCCGGTATATTTACCATCAGTTGCCGCCTAAAACAAACCGCTGGTATAGAACACTGATGATATAATGGAGGAATAGGGTGCTCAAAACATATTTCTTGAATATATTGGAGTATATTTGAGACACGACTGCAGCATACCGGGTGCGAAACACGGGGCCCTGAGGGTTGTGGAATCTCTGATGACGGAACCTTGTGATCTTTTCCTGGTGGTTGGCGCCGATGGCACCAGCATGGATCAACTGAGCTGCACCTCAGATGCAGTGGAACCTAGAGGATCAAACACAGCAATTGAAAATTCACCATTTACAGAGGATTTTCCCAGCTAGAAACCTCCATTAAAATGAGGATTTTCCAGCCTGCTACGTTTGATTTCCAGAGGGTATCTGGAGGGGCTTGTGAGGATTTGGATGTTTTTTCGGGTGCCACTAGCTTGACATGAATTGGTACCTCGCGAGGTACCAATTGCACCTTGCGACCGGCCCAGTTGCCAGACCAATGCTTGACCTGGATCACAGGCGGAAAGGGACCAATATCTTGGCTGGTTCTTTTTGAATTTATTTTGCCCAAAAAGTGCTGAAAAACCAGCAATCATTGGGAGCAACGATGGATCCCATTCAGTCCAAAGGACGAGTTTCACGCGGCAATAATCACATAGAGAAAACCTCAGTCCTGAAGGCCTAGTCTACCCAGGCCTTTAGCAAAGGCCTAGTTTAGCGAGGACTTGGACAGACAGGGGATATTCAGCTGCAAGAATGAAATTATAGTCCCTTGAATGGGTTATGGTTTGTTGTTGGGTGATGCTACCTGGTTTATAGGGGATAATTATGACTTCATAGCACCATTCTGGAAAACCTCGGCTGTATTAGTTACGGATATAGAGGAATCATAGAGGGTTTTGAATACTCAAAGAGTGGGATTCACAGCCCCATACCCTTTGGTATATCAGCATAGCTATGGACAAATGGCCCATTTCTAATTGATTTACTTATTAAGATTGCCATTTTCCATAGCTATGTCAGTTGTACCAGAAGGTATTTCCAGGATAGAAACTCATTTTGAACAGGAGACTAGGGTGCGGAGATCATACCCACATCATCCGTGTATAGCTATATAAGATGTTCCGGTATCTTGGAACTAAAAATCACCAACTTGTTGCATGTACATTTAATGTTTCATGGTTGCTTCAAAGTGCATTATCCTATAGATTTTTCCCCCAATCAATCCAGAGTCAAGGTTTGATGAAACCAGAGGTTATCCTCCAGTAAACTAACATGGACATGCAAACTCCACCATAGAAGTAGATGTTTTTCCCAGGGTCTTCCCATAGTTTTCCAATGTTTTTCCCAGGGTCTTCGCCATGGCATCTGTAGGGCCCGTAGCAATCACCGCCGGCCGCGCCGGCGGCTGGTCTCTGGCGGCCTGCGAAAATGCTTCAGACAGCAGCTTTCCGAGCCAGGCCTTCAATCACAGCAGTTTGCCAGGAGCGATGGGAAGCCATGGCTGCTCCACCGAATGATTTTTCTAGTGGGAAGCCCCCGTTGTGAGCGGATTCAAAAGCGAAGTTGGTGGGTTTGTAACTCCAGTTTCGCTTGGGTTTGTGGTATATATACAGTTATATATATATATATATGTATGTCATTGTTCTTTAGTCATGGAAAATATCCATGATGTATCGAACTAGTCTAGCCTGATCCAAGTTAATCCTTAATGATTACCCGGTTTACGGATTAGCGGTTTACGGATTAGCCCGCGGACCGGGGCACAGGTTCCACATTAAGTATGTAAAATTAAAGGTTTTGGGGCCTTCTTTCTTTCAAACAGCATTTACCTTTCGGCCTCAGCAAATCCAAACCCCCAGGAAGCAGAAATCAAGCCGAAAGTGCTTAAAAGGGGTTTGCCGGTGGACCTGCCAGAGCAAACCCCTTTTAAGCAGAAATCAGGCCGAAAGTGCTTAAAAGGGCTTTGGCACTGGACTTGCCAGAGCAAAGCCCTTTTAAGCAGAAATCAGGCCGAAAGTGCTTAAAAGGGCTTTGGCGGTGGACTTGCCAGAGCAAAGCCCTTTTAAGCAGAAATCAGCCGAAAGTGCTTAAAGGGCTTTGGCGGTGGACTTGCCAGAGCAAAGCCCTTTTAAGCAGAAATCAGGCCGAAAGTGCTTAAAAGGGCTTTGCCGGTGGACTTGCCAGAGCAAAGCCTTTTAAGCAGAAATCAGCCGAAAGTGCTTAAAAGGGTTTTGGCGGTGGACTTGCCAGAGCAACCCCTTTTAAGCAGAAATCAGCCCCGAAAGTGCTTAAAAGGGCTTTGGCGGTGGACTTGCCAGAGCAAACCCCTTTTAAGCAGAAATCAGGCCGAAAGTGCTTAAAAGGGCTTTGGCGGTGGACTTGCCAGAGCAAAGCCCTTTTAAGCAGAAATCAGGCCGAAAGTGCTTAAAAGGGCTTTGGCGGTGGACTTGCCAGAGCAAAGCCCTTTTAAGCAGAAATCAGGCCCGAAAGTGCTTAAAAGGGCTTTGGCGGTGGACTTGCCAGAGCAAAGCCCTTTTAAGCAGAAATCAGGCCGAAAGTGCTTAAAAGGGCTTTGGCGGTGGACTTGCCAGAGCAAAGCCCTTT